TGTGACCTTGAGCAAATTGTATAACCTCCCTTTCTTTAATTACATGTCTGTAAAATGAGTATGATGATCCAAGGGAGCTAACTGGGACGTCTGCGTAAAGCCTATGTAAATGCAAGGCATCCTAGCTAAGTATTACAAAAGAAAGATCCAAAGTCATACATTCTTCAGGTGATATTTCCAGACCTGGTTTTGAGTGTGTGTGCTTCATCATCTGCTAAAAGTTTTTACTTTTCCTCCTAAGAAAGAAGAAGCAAACAATGAGAGCCTAGGAAACAAGTGCCTCCCAGATGTACTGTTTTCTCCCCATGTATGCTCACCCCAGATGTCAGCACTTCTCATTTCCTCAGAATTATCCACTCACACCCAGGGCAGTAGTGAGCCTGGAGGATTTACGGAAAAAGCCATAGGGAAGACTGAAGAGAGGGTTTACCCAGAACAAACTTCCGACTCCCAGGCAGGGCCCCTGGGAGGCAGCTTTCCCCATCCTTTGGGTCAGCACTCATCCTCAGCCTTCTTCCTTGACTCACAGCACTTCTGTCCTGCCTCCCAGCCTCCCCTGCCTCATCCCAGTACCAGCAATGCGTAAGCAGGAGGCCACTTGAGCCTCAGGGCTTGGGCTCCTCAGAAGGTACGTGAGAGATTTCCACTGTCATTTGAGTGGCCCTTTCTCCACTTTTGGTAAATCAAACTTTCTTTTTTTTTTTTGAAGAATCTGTTCAGATATTTTGTCTATTTTTAAATTAGGCTATTTACTTTCATTTGCTTGAGAAATCAAACTTTCTTAAGGCATGAAGAGTGAGATCACCCGGGCTAGGTAGGGACTCCGGTGAGATACCCAATTAGCCCCACTCCTCTTTTGGAAGGTTAAGTGCAAGATGTCTAAGGAGGATAAGAAGGATGCACAGCCTGTAGTCACAACCAGGTGAGGCCAAGAACACAGGTCCCTCAGTGAGGAGAGGGACTGAAAGCCAACTTTATGTAGAGAGCATGGAAGCCTGTAAAGACTCTCAAGGGTGTAGACATAAATAATACAAGAAAAGATGAGGATAGCTTCAAAGTCAAATAGGAGAAAGCCACTTTTTATACTAAGTAAACAACTTTTTCACCTCCCCGCCCCCACTGACTTAAATGTTGTTTGTATATATTCAGCCTGTCAGCAAGGCAGAAATAAAAATATTGATGAAATTACCATTTTTTGTGGCATGGAATTTTTAGACCTAGAAGCTCTAAGTGAAAGTCATTCATTTATGTTTGACTCTCTGCGACCATGGACTATATAGTCCATGGAATTCTCCAGGCCAGAATACTGGAATACTAGCCATTCCCTTCTCCAGGGCTGGAAGCTATAGGTCTATAACAAAATGACAGAGATGCTTAGTCTTTTCACTGCAGAGAACTTACCACATTCTCTAATGTGAGCAGAGTGTGGTTCCTTCTGATTGAATTGTACCTTCTCTTCCCAATTCTGCTGGTCTTCTCTTCTAAGTCTGAACACTTGCTGACCTCCCCTGTTCTTGGGAGACATCTGGGCAGCTGTAAGGAAAAGGCCCAAAGCCCAGGCATTTTTCCAACAGCTTTATTGATGCATAATTTAAGAGAAGATGTTTCTGCTGTTCTGTGATAAAGTTCAGTTGAGAGGTGGTGTTAGTATCTTCCTTAGAACCGAGGTCACTTGGAAGATTGAACTCCCAAGTCTGTGATCAAAATTACCAAAATTTGCCAATAAGCTCCAGGTGAGCAGAGTTCTTTTACATGTGACACATGTAAATATGTTTGGTAATGACTGACTGAAAAGAAACAAACAAACAAACAAACAAAACACCAGTATCTTGGTGGTGATGGTTTAGCTGCTAAGTCCCGTCTGACTCTTGCCGCCCCAAAGGACTGTAGCCCACCAGGCTCCTCTTTCCTCTTTTGCCTGGGATCTCCCAGGCAAGAATACTGGAATGGGTTGCCATTTCCTCCTCCTGAAGATCTTCCTGACCCAGGGATCTCAGATTCTTAGCCTGCATTTTAATTCAGGTGGTGTGCTAGTGGTAAAGAATCCGCCTGCCAACGCAGGAGACGTAGGAGATGTGGGTTCGATCCCTGGGTTGGGAAGATCCCCTGGAGGAAGAAATGGCAACCCACTCCAGTATTCTTGCCTGGAAAGTTCCATGGACGGTGGAGCCTGGTTGGCTACAGTCCATGGGGCTGCAGAGAGTCAGACATGACTAAGTAACTAAGCTCTTACCTACATGAATGTAGGTAAGCTACTATTTTTAGGCTACTATACAGAGAGTGTTATGAAAAAAATAAACATAGAAAGCAATGGACAGTTTTTCTGATGATTTCATAGAACATGTACAAAATACATACATCATTTTAACTGACATCCTGATGTTATGTATTATACAGTTGTAGTTCAGAGGAGTGATGTGAGAAGTCAGAAAGAGCTAATTAGAGGCAGACTCTGAACTCATACCTATTTTACTAATACAGTCAGCTGGTTTCTCTTTTAGGTGGTTAAGGAAATTTAGATAAATTTGCAGTTAACCACAAAACAAAGAAATAAATGCTTCCAAACACTAAAACAGGTCTATAAAACTTCTGAGAAGGACGCAGATGCTTTAACATGGGGAAGTCATAGAATATCTGGAAATTTGGATCCTAAAGAAGAGTGGTTTTGGAGGAGGATAGGACTAGATGGAGAGAGGCTATGATACACTCACAAAATAAACCGAGTCTGCCTTGCATTGGAGCTAGAGTGGGACATTGTTCCTCAAAGTGACTGCTGGGCTACATTTAAATACAAGAGAAGTTTCTTGCCAGGTTTCTTGAGGACCCCAGTGAAAGTCAAAGATCAACCTAGCTGCTAAAATGATTCTAAATTGGATTAAGAGGCTGACACAGCAGTGCTTGAACTGTTCATTCAGCAGTTCTCCTTGGCTAACCTGAGCAAAGCTGAGGGCCTTTTTGTAAACCCAGCGTAAAAACAAGTCGGATGTTAAGGACATGTACTTTAACACACCTTGTGTGGTTTGAACATAATTGGACTTGCAGAAGGACCTTTTATAAATCATTCTTATGGGGGCACTTTCTGAAGGAAGAGGGTAAAAATGAGCCCTTCCCGTGACTGATGAGACCGGACTTTGGGTTGTGTGAATTTGCATAATCATCACCTTGAAAAGGTGTTGCATCTTACTCCAATTATAGATGAATGGGAGCTGTCTTTGTGAAGTGCACAGCCCTGGTGAGATGCTGCTGGGCTCCCTGCGGACATCTGTGGAAGTCTGGGCTGCTATGGGGGAGGGCAAAGGACAGATGGTGTGCATGGGATGGGGTGGGGGGCTTCCAGAATGATTCCTTAGACAAGACACGAAAGGTCGCTTCTGACTAGTGAGGGAGCACGTCTCAGAATGACCTTCATGTCTCCTCCGTAAGGCTGAAGTTACATAGTGAAGTTACTAAGTTACTGCATCTTAGCAGCTCAGGATATGTGGCACTGGGGACCTCAGCAGTTAACTGGGAATTTCAGAAGGGTGCAGCCTGGTGAGGTCAGCTTCCGGAAGACTCCACAATACTGATACTTTCCAGATGTTTCTCTTCTTTTCTCCTTTCTGACCGGCTATATCTTCCTCTCATCATTCTGTCCTGTCCTTTCAGGGAATTGAGATGAAATACTGCCTGGTGTCTTAGGCGTGATAGAATCACTCAGCAGTAGGAAGTGATTTAATATCTTATATCAATATTTATAATAGTCTTCACTGCTTGTGACTCGCATAAACACTTTTTTTTTTGCTGTTCAAACCCAATATTGGAATAAAATGCTAGAGTATCTTTTACAAAAAATTACTTTTAATGCTGCAGTAGTTTGTAATAATCTGTGTAGGAGTTTATGATTTTCAAAGCACTTTCTGCTTATATTGCCTTATTTAATCCCCAGCATAAATCAGGGGAGTAATTAATACTCTTTAAACTTTCTTTTTCCAGATAAGGAAAGGGAGGCCCAGAGAAGTTAAATAATTCACTCAAGGTCATACAAATAATAAATGGCAGAACTAAATCTTAATTCAGACTCTTTACATCTGTATCTTTTGTATATTCTTATCATTACATTTATATTTACTATAGAGCCTGTTCACTAAATTTACTATAGAGCCTCTCCTTGTTTTTTGCCCGTATAAAACGAGGAAATGATGGAAAGGAAAGCAGCTGGAAAATAAATTTATTAAAAGAATGTAACTTTTCTCACAGTTTCCTAATGGATCTTTCAGGTATGTTATTTGAGGACCCGGTGCCTTATATCTGTAATAAAACTAGTGCTCTGCAAATTCCTCCATTAAGACAGCTATGTCGGTGGCAGCTCTCGTTCCCCCTTCTCCAAAGGAAAAACTAAGGCTTCACAAACCTAAGACGTCTTCCTCTCTTCTGGTGGACTCGGCCATGGGGCAGAATTGAGATCTCTAAGCACTCTCCAGCCTCTTTATTCTATCAGCGTTTCAAAAGCCTGAATACCTCCCCGACCCCCACCCCCGGCCCCCGCCTTTGGCTTACATCCTTCGAAGAAGAGAGTGGCGCCCCCTCCGTCTGGGAATGGCCCTTTGGGGTAACTGCAGAGCAGTCAGTGTACCTAGGTTGGGGTTTGAGTAAGTCATCCGGGTCATACTGAATGACTAAGCCTCTGGTCTGCTTTTCCTCTGCAAAGGTAAGGGGTGGAGTTCCCCCCTACTCCCACCTTTCTTCAAAATGCCCCATTCCTGGGCTTGTGCCACAGGTCCTTCCAGCCTCATGGACCAATATCCACGTTACTTTGCTGCAAAAAATAATGTACAACACCCAGCAGCTTTAAAATCCTTCATTTTGGGCGTTTAAGACCCCAAGACACAGAAAGTTAAACGGGCGTCGAAAAATGGAACCTAAAGATGGAGGTTCATGTCTTTGACTGCGTCTGCACTTGTGATTTATGTAAAAGAGCAGAGATGTGCCTTTCTTTTCTTCCCTGCACATCGATTTCCCAGGCCTGGCCCATCGTGGGTCCCGGCGGCCGGCGCCCCTCTGCCGGGCCCCTCCGCGGATCAGCCCCACCTGCGTGCGCCCGGCCACGAGCCGCCAGGTCGTCCGCCTGCAACGGGCTGGGGCGCGCGGCCCCGGGGGGCGGACCCCCGCCGCCCAGCTGAGACGCGATTCGTCACTCTTGCAGAACTTTCCCCCTGAAAATCCCTGCACCAGAACCAGCCCTCCCTCCCCGCGGAGGTTTTGATTTTAGTGGCTTTGCTTCCTTTTATTTTCCGTGTGCTGGGTTTGGCTGCCAGCTCGTGCGAGTACATGTCCGCGGTCGTCGCCCCTGCAGCCGCCTACCCGGACACCATGCACTTCGAGGCAGAAGAATCCAAGGAAGGTACAGTTTGGATTTGGCTGAGGGGGCCCCGCCAAGTTCTGCAGAGGAATGTGGAAGTAGGGCGGCGGGGTAGTGGACCAGATAGGAGTTTAAAAGTGAGCGATGGGCACTTTGTCCGCTCTGACTGCGCCTTCCCTGCCGGTTTCAGGGCGACTGTGCCGAATACACTTCTCACCCCGCGGCCGTTCAAAGGGGAGGGAGGAAGAGTCAGACCTGGCTCTGCCAGCCCACTAAACGCTGCTTTCTAGATCTTTCTGGAAACGAAACAGCCCCAGTATTGACTCCAAGAATGCGAAATGTACTTAGAAGAGCACTCTCTGCCTGCAGTCGGGACAGTCGAAAGCTGGATCCCTTGGAAGAGCCCTAAGAGTCCAGGGTCCCTTGAAAAGGGGTTTCAGAAATTGGAAACTTGTGTGTTTCCGGCTAAAGGGGGAAGCTGCGTGCGGGGGAGAAGTGAAAGATCTTTATTTGGGGAATAGGTTTTTTTTTTCTTTTTCTTTCTTTCTTTCTTTTATCCCTGCTGTCTTTTCAGTAGTGAATTTATTTTGTTGGGGGGCTTTATAAGGGGGCTGAGAGATATGAGGGAGAACTTGTGCAACTTGAAACTGAGACGAGTTTGTCTGTTTCTAACTTTGCCAAAGGGTTTCCATTTACTCCTAACAGAGCGGGTGACAGGGCTGGAAAAGCTCCAACCAAAACACAATTATACGCTGGTGTTAGTTCGGGGAGTTTATTTGTGTGAGTGTTTGTACGCTTTGTTTCCTGAAACTTTATGTATACAAAAGTCCTCTTGTAAATTGAGGTAGAAGTAGGGGAAATGAGAGAGTAAGAGAACGACTGTGCAAGATTGTGAAATTTCCTTCTTTTTAAGTAGTCTCTTGAGAAACGGGTAAATTTCGAGTCAATCATAGCACAGGGAGCCTGAGGAGCAGAAAGGAACCCCATCGTTTCTCGGTTTGGTAGTTACCAGTCAGGGAGAGCCCTGGAAATTTGTCCTCTTCTTTTCCTGATTTCCATCCCCACAGTTAAGCCCTGTGTTTCAAGATGTGGTCTCTGTGGGCTGACATTTCCTTTATTGTGCTGTGTGAGGGAAGCAGTGAATTAAAAACAGTCTTGTTTAATAGAAATATGGGACTGGTGTGAATGAAAAATGACAGCCAGGAGCATTGTTTTTGAGCTTGATGTGGGAGCTTGGGGGATTAATGTTTCCTTGCTGCCGTGGAGTCTGTACTGATGGAGCTTTGCTGTTGGAGGCTTTTCTTTTAAACAGCGATGTACAGTAAGTCACAAGTGGGGTTGAAGGCACATGGACTGAGAGAAGCCAATAGTGAACTTTTATATGAATTACAAGTAGCACTTACATTGGTATTTTTCTCCCAGGCATGTTTTTTTCTTTTGGGGAAACAAAACAAAACAGTGAGGAGAAAGTGGGAAAACAGTATCCCAAAGCATATTCTTTGGGATACATTCTTTCAGCCAGCACCCACATTCTTCTCTCCAGCCCAATTCACCCATTGCAAGCCTGAAAACTGGAGGTGAAGAGGTGCCTTAATGCACACCCCCTTGTTCCTAACCTTTCCCTTCCCCTTGCCATCACTTACATTCTGCAAATCTGTAGCAAATTACCCTCCCTCTGTTTTTTACTGAATGTTCAACATGTTTCTTTTTATATAATATGAGGTGCTTGAGTTTTAAATTGATGGCAGTTAGAATATGATGTAGAATAACTCTTGAGGGAGATTGAACACATACTTTATTAACAAATGGAATCATAGTAGCCTCTACCAGGAAATAAAGGACTAATGTGTGTGTATGTGTATTTGTGTGTGTGTGTGTGCATGTGTGTCCCAGGCAGTTCTGACAAGATTGGTTATTGGCTGTGATCTAGAATCCTCTGTTTAGCTACCACCACTCAGAAAGGAGCAATGCTGTTTGTTTTTATTTTTTAAAAAAGATTTTTTGATGTGAACCATTATAAAGTCTTTATCAAATTTGTTACAATTTTGCTTCTGTTTTATGTTTTGGTTTTTTAGCCCCAAGGCATGTGGGATCTTAGCTCCCCTTCCAGGGATCAAACCCTCACCCTCTGCATTCGAAAGTGAAGTCTAACCACTGGACCACCAGGGAAGTCCCTCAGTGCTGTTTAAATAGCTCAGTTATCTTTATTGTCTATCCTTACTAATTCCATCCCTTCTCCTTAGCTTCTCTTTTTCTCCTTGTGGATTTATGTATCCCATTTAGTGTGAGATCACCACAAGCTCTTCACAATGTCTGCATTGCAAGCAAATTGCCTTGGGATGCTTCATGCCTGATTTGCCATAATGGGAGATACTTTAAATCATTAGTCTGAACAGCAGTGAGAGACTAGTATACTTTGTTTAGGGTTGAATATGAAACAAAATATCAAGTTGAATTCAGAAATCCTTGGAGGCTAACATATTTGTGTATATGAGTGAATGTAGAAGCAAATGACTGGGGATATTGTTAAGCCACCATAGTTTAGGACAAACTTGACTCTGTGCCAGAAGTGCTGAACCTCCATCCTCAGTCACAAGCCACCTCCTAAAGAATCAATTTAATTTTGCCTGCTTACAAATGAATAGGTGATTGTGCTTGAGTATTAAACAGAGAAAAAGAACTCAGACCTTGCTTGATTAGAAGCTGAGTGAGTTTAAGATATCCTGGCATAATATGAATAGGAAAGCAAGAGAAGGGAGGGAGAAACCTACTTTATTAAACAGGGGAAGAGTGTTTTAAAAAGAATATCAAGTTTCCCGTGGATGGGCGCTTCCTGAGGAGATGCGTTGATGGCCATATTTTTGGCATTTCATTGATTCCTGTTGAATAAATTACTTAATTATGAGGTAGGAGAAATGAATCGCAGTTAAGATCTCTGCAGATCTTTCTCGTGCTAAACATCAAGGGATCTGGGGCGCCTCTGACTTGGTTATTGAAGCTTTGGTACCAAAAAATGAGGAAGCCACTATTAAGGAGGAGTTGCTTTGGGAGGGCCGAGCTGTGAGCGAGCTCGGGCTCCTCCTCTCTTGCCCATAATAGCACTTCCTGCCCCGCCTCACCTAGTTCTCTCACTCCTCACCAGGACTGCTATTTCACAAAGGAAACAGTAACCATCAGACCACTCCCTGACTTCCTGCTTCCAGACTGACAGATTCACCTTCACCCACACCCATCCTCCCAGTGTCTGTGGAGCAGGCGTGGTTCCTGCTGGAAGGAGTGGAAGGAGGCCACTCCTACTGTGGCTCCTCACTGCACCAGTTGGCCTCACGTCTTTCCTGGCACCTTTCTTTCTGTGTATAGATGGGCCCAAGCTCCCTACTTTGGGGGTGTTGGCACCTGATGGTCTTTCTCCCTGAAATTCTTCTCCCCACCTGACCCCCTTTCCCTGGTCAGGTTTCTGGGTTGGAGAGGCTCTTTCTGAACCTCCAGCTTAAATTAAAATCCCTTACTGCAGTCTCCCAGAACACCTAACCTTTTTGTAGCTGATACCACATTGTTTAGCATCTTTCTCTAGACTGCAAGCTCTTGAGGGCAAGACCATGTCTGTTTTATTCCCCACTGGGTCTCCAAGACCTATGCATTGAGAGGTGATGATTCAGTATTTATAAAATGAATGGATGATTTTCATTCTTTAGAGGTAATCCTCGGTACTTTGTTAATTTTAGGCATATATTTCTCCTTTAAAATGAACCTGTTTTTTTTTTTCTTTTTTACCTTCTGCATGATGCCTACTTCCTCACTCTTCATCCTTCTTCCACTGAAGTCTGTCTTTTTCTCCATTACTCCACTGAAATTGCCCAAATCACCAGTGACTTCCCAGGTGCTAAAACCACCAGTGACCCAGCAGTCATATTTTGTCCTGATCTTCCTTGACTTGGTTTTGCAGTGCTTGACACTAGAAGACCAGTGTCCTGGCAGTCCTAAATTCCTCCCTTAGTTCCTATGCCTCTACTCGCTCTAGCTGTCTTTCTAATCTCCTAGACCTCCAGCTTAGGCTTTTCTAAAAGTTACCTGTGCAGCCAGCTGCCTGGTAAACACCATGCTTTTTTTTTTTAAGTGAAGTATAGCTGGTTTACAGTATTGTGTTAGTTTCAGGTGTAGAGCAAAGTGATTCTATATGTGTGTATGTGGTGTATATATATGTATATAATATTCTTTTCCATTATAGTTTCTTGTAGGATATTGAATATAACTCCCTGTGCTATACAGTAGGACCCTGTTGGTTATCTATTTTATATATAGTAGTTTATACCAAGCTCCTAATTTCTCCCTCCCATCCCCTTTCCGCTTTGGTGACCATAAGCTTGTTTTCTATGTCTGTGAGTCCCGGTAAACACCATGCTTTGACTGTCATGTGGGTATCTCACATTCAACAGATCTGCTCTGAGCCTGTCATTTCCTACTCTTCACAAATCTCATCCTTCTTTTGTGTCATCATACAGCACTCTTTTCAGCTTCCAAACTGAAATCTGCTAGTTGTCCTTAATCCCGCCCTCTCCTCTATCTTCAGCTTCCACCTGGCACTTCCTCCTTCTCATTATCTGTGAATGCATCTCCTTCTCTTCGTTTTCCTGGACCCTGCCTTGCTTCAGGTCCTCAGTGTTTGTACCTTCACGAAACAATAACTACCTCTCTCATCAGGGTTCTTGGTTGCAAGAAATGGAAATTGATTCCTGCTATCATGAGGAATGGATTGAAATGAAGAATGTCTTGAAAATATTTTGGGCTAGTTCACACATCCCCAGAAAGAATTAGCCTCTGAAAGATACATCAGGAAATGCAGCCAAGAATCTCCTGGTTAGGACCTCACGATGGCCTTGGCCTCCTGTATATTTTTCAGTTCTGTCTCAGATGGGACTCCAGATGTGCCTGAATATTTAGTCATGCTCCACATTTAAAAATCTCAGAAGTAAGCCAGCTGATGTATCAGTGCTAGGTTGTGTCCTTGCCGTTGCTGCTTGTGGGAGAGATATCCTCTGGTT